CTCTCTCTCTCTCTCTCTCTCTCTCTCTCTCTCTCTCTCTCTCTCTCTCTCTCTCTCTCTCTCTCTCTCTCTCTCTCTCTCTCTCTCTCTCCTCCTTCTCTCCCTCTTGCTCTCTTTGCACAACAAAGTGAAACGCAAGGGTGAGCGGTTGAAGATAAATATCCTCATGATACTCACTATCAGCGCATGTCGAGGGGAGTGCTGGGAGCGGGATCAGGAGTTTATGAAATAGCACGCAGTGTTCTGTCTTTGGTCATTCAATGTTGTACCAATGTGACGCAACTTTAACATAAATTGAGGAAATTAAAATGTTACACGAATATTGCACGAAACGTGAATAGAGTTAATATAACATGTAATGTTTTTGTTTTTTTCCCTTGTTTTTCTTTTTATAAGAAACACGTAACGCTTACAAAATCACTTCGTAAGGATTACTCAACATTATATAACACTATATTACACTTAAAATAACATTCGCTATCAAATATACGGTAATCAATTGTGGTGATACATCTCTCTGTAAAAAGAAAAAACAAAAAAAAAAAAAGAAATAAGCCAAAGTAAAGAACGTTTACCTTAAATTAGTTAATCTTATCCCTAGTTAGACTCGTGTTTCAGGCGAAAGTGTGAGAAAGGAACTGCTCCATAAGCACGCTTTTAGGCTTTCTATCCGCAGAGTTCTAGGACGCCGACAATTGTGATTACAACGCAAAAATAAATAACCGCGTGTACAACCAATACTTCAATCTACTCAGAGATAGAACCAAGTTATCTGATCAAAGAAAAAATAAACGGAAAATATTATATCGATATATGATATTATGTCATTGAGAGATCTCGTAAATCTTGCGTAATATCTCTAAGTACAAAAAAATTAATGTTCGCTCCAATTAACGTAATACCAAATCCTTAACGGTTGATTATCCACGTGTTGAGCCGTAGTAAACGCGTTTTTCACTGGGAAGATATAGTACAACGAACGACGGCGACTAAAGGCATCGGCGAGCGCGTACCGAAGGAGGGAGTTATCAGCTCGCACCCATCGTGTGACCGTACCGTACAGTCTTATCATCTCGATAACACGCGGATGTTAACTCGTTACACCATGTACTATGGACATCGCGTTCTTAACGCATCTCGAACCGATGTCGTTATTTATTGTCGCGCGACACCGCCGACGTTTAACCGGCTGCAATCGGAAAATCTCGTGAGTTTTGTTCACGAACCGACATGTCACGGCGACGTTAGCTGGGAAATTGCTGAGAGCGCGCGCTGCGCCGTTCGCTTCTTGAGTCAAACACTTTCTCCTCCTTTTCTCTTCTTCTACCATATCGTAGAAAAGTCTAATCTTACGTAACTCTAACCACGAGGTATATACACAGCGCTCCGATGCAGATTGCTGATACAAGCCTTATCCGTGAAAGTACTATCGAGTTCCAGCAGAAATAATAAAAAGTGGGATAGCGCACGTTTGCAGAACTCAATCTCTCATTCTTCCTCCCTTATGGAAATGTACATTTGATTGGTCACTAACTGTAAGACGTTCTTTAATACGTCCAGTTTCCTCCCATTCTCTTGTAATTTCATTCCCTTTTCACCCTTGCCTTCTACTATCTCGCAAACTCTCCACTATCTTTCCTTTGCTAATAAAACGCGCGTACAAACACGACCAGTGTCGTTCTTAATATGTGACATTTTACTCTCTGTAAATATATTGTGTGTGTGTGTATGTATGTGTGTATATATATATGTGTGTGTGTATACTATATATATATATATATCGAGAAAAACGGAACTCGTGGTTGCACATCACATTACTAAGAGCACTTAAACCACGCAACACTTAACTGCGTTATAAAAATACGCAATATTATTACAATAAAATAATTATTCGTAGTTCTTAGTTCAGTTAACTATATTTAGTTGTCAACTGTCGAAAGTTTATAGTTATAGCCTCGCACGTTATCACAGTGTACGATAGTTCCCTTCGTTGCATTGTTTGTAGAACTTCCACGCGAACACGGAAATTGCCATCAAACACGTAGCAAGGATAATGCCACCTGCAACAAGAAAAAGCAAACGGTCTTTTTAATATTTTATGACGAAGCGCCATTGTCTTAAAAAACACACACGGTATTTATTAGAATAAAAATTTCTCGGAAAAAAATCATATAAATAATATTCTCAATACAACAAGCAAAGATTTATGCAACACGCAATGTACCGTATTAGCTGACGATATTTGGTTATAAACCTAATAACGTTCTACTTGATTGCTTTAATCAAATATGTTATCGATTAATTAAGAGTATATCTTTTACGTACCAAAGAAGCTCAAACCGTCGAAATGACGATCTTTGGTAGATGGTTTTGTAGATGGTACAGGCGTCGTTTGCGGCGCGGTTGTGCTGCTATTGGGTGTAATTATACTGGTAGACGGCGGAGTTACCGATGTACTGGTAGTTTTATTCGCAGGTGTTGGAGCAGGAGTAGGAGTAGTGATAGTAGTCGAAGTAGTAGTCGAAGTAGTAGTAGTACTGCTCTTAGTGGTCGGAATAGTACTCGGAGTACTGGCGGTAGTAATCGTACTCAGAGGAGTAGTAGTAGTAACGGTAGTAGATGAATTCGTGGTTGAATGAGTAGTAATCGTGGTTGAATTAGGTATAGCAGTGGTTGTATTAATTTTTTCATCATGTTGTCCATTTAGAACTTGTGCCGTCTTTTCTATTGCACCTGAACATACGAAGAACACATACATTGTTTCTTACACAACAAGCTAAACTCATTACAGTCATAATAAATGATCATTTCCAGGAATATCCTTTTCCAAGTAACAATTATCCAGAAAATATTAAAATGCCTTTGAGACAACAACACGTACAAAAGATCCCTGAGGGCTGACTCTTCAACTTAATGTGAACAAAGTTAAACTTAAATCTAAGTTTAAATTACTATTGGAAAATCGATTCTGAAACGTCTTTTAGACGTGCATGTTGTATAAATATATTCCAAGTGATTTTTGCTTATTTATGATCAATCAATATATGCTAACTAATAACTAATAATGATATAATAATTGCCTAGCATAATTTAAAAAAAATGCTTTAAAAATATTTTAAAGACGTCTATTTCTTCATTTATAATAATATAATAATTGAAATACAATATATATAAAAGTTATACTATACTGGACCATTATGTTATCATTAGTTATCAGCAAAGTTGGGTAATAACTAGTTAATCACTAAAAAATTAAGTTAAAAAGGTAATAACTTTTAACTTAAACTAGTTACTTTAAAATGTATTAACTTTATTAATTTTTTTTATATAAATAAGAATAATTTACCAATACTGAAATCATTACGGACTACTTACAATATAGAATTTTAAAAAAATGAAAAATAAGACGAGTAGAATGTCTCTCTGAGCGCATATTCTCTTTTTATATAGAATACTAAGCACAAAACAATCCATATTTTCTTGTAAAAGACCATCTTTTTTAAATATTTCACATAAATTTAATCTATGATTGAAAAATTAATTATGCAAAATATATATAGTGTATACATCAGAAACTTTTAATTTTAACAAATTTATTTATTTTTTAACTTAATTTTTAATTAAATTAGTTTATATTTTTAACTGAATTAAATTAATTGTATAAATATTTGTATAAATCATTCACTTTAAACTTAACTTAGTTAAAAAAATTACTCAACCTTGGTCATCAGTTAGCATGCATAACATAAATAAGTAGAAGTCATTTTAACTTCTTGGTTATTACTTACACAACATAGATGCCTAAAAGATATCTCAGAGATGCATCTTTTTAGATATTCTATCGTCTTAAAAATTCTATTTCTTCAGATGTTTTTTATGTAATAATATTTAAAAAATTATTACACACACACACACAAGTGCTATTAGTGGGCAGCTATTATATGTTAATTGTTATATTCATTATCCAAATAGAGTTTTATAATTATTACAATTATCACAATGTGAAACAATTAAATGGAATCTATATTTTTTAAAATTGTGAACTCATGAACTAAACTAAATAAACTATATTGTAATAAAATACTATATTAAATTAACCATTGAATTTACACAATGACATTATAAGAAAAAGTTAATAAAAGTTGCAGATTTTCATATAACAATGTGATAAGTATGAGTATTATATATACCACTTACAAGAAGCACAATCTTTAAAAATTGTCTAGGAAGATTGTAGCAACTTTGTATACACTTATCTTATACCAGAGTAGGTATTAGTTAACATGTATTAATTTATCATAAATAAGTAAAAGCTTTTTTCTAATTGCCTATGTTTTTGTAAAAAAATTTTTTCTTTTTCCCCTGTTGCATTTTTATATCTATTTTTCTTTTTCTTATAAATTATATATTGTATATTGTTCCAAAAAAATGACTTTCGTTAATAAATAAATAAGAAGTAAATTATTAAATTAAATAAAAAATTCGTGAAATAATAAAATTAAATAATCATTTTACATATACGTATACAATACACGTGTCTAAAAGACGTCGCAAAGATGTTAACATACTATTGTGTTTCAAAGAAGTTTACTTCTACTCTTCTAGATGTTTTTAGACATTTGTTAGACGTCTTCTACTACCTGTGGGTGATATTGTATACGCTTATACGATGCGCCATATGCAGAAGTTGTGTGAAATAATTAATATATTTTTTTTTAATTTACAATCGTATTTTCGATCAGCTCGAAAACAAGAACACCTTGAATTTTAATGTCTGTTAATTTTAAGCGGGGTCTACAATAGGAGTCGTAGAGTCGTAAGTCGTAGAAATTGACCAATCACGGTCGAGTATGAGAAGAATAATCGACCGCGATTGGTCAATTTCTACGACTTACGACTTTATGATTTCTATTGTAGACTCCGCTTTACAGACAATATCTCGCCACAAGATATTCGACCGGACTTCACCTTCCAACCTCGACGACGTCCTGATTTTAGACGTTAAATTTGATTCTTAAATGATTTTAATCCATAGTTTTCTCATATTATTACTAATTTACATTCCGGGCGATATCTCACGCACGCATCTCACATACAAAAGCATACATATCAAAGTACAACACATGCAAAAATATTCTCCAATTTGTTATTGCGGCGACCGAAGTGTTAACGTGTCGTGCATTGATCGTTATCGTTCGACATAGTCGGAGCCCGTAAGATTCGGTCGCTAGTCGGCGTGAGATCGATAACGACGAAGAATCTACTCGGAACCACCGCCGACGTTGACGCCGACGCAACATGAAGGTCGAGAACGCGCATAAGTACGCCACTCCGAAGCCCCCTCCCCTGCGTCGACCCACTAGGAATCCATCCCTTTTAGGCTGCATTCACTTTGGGCGCTTTTGTGCCGAAAGCATCATTTTCTATCTTTACTGTTCACTACACACATAAAACACACACACACACACACACACACACACACACACACACACACGCCACAGGAAGATATAAAATAACGTTTTTAGCACAAATATCCAGAGTGAGCTTGGCTTAGTTTCGCGCGTTTTTTCGCACCCGAAACGAAAAGAGAAACGTATATTCATGCTTCTTACTAAGGGAGAAAGAGAGAGAGGAACAAAGAGTATGGAAAGTATGACTGAGACAAACGAAAAAATAAACGTGCAGATGAACGGATTCGAATGAGCATTCCTCGAACAACGTGCCGTTACAAAATCAGTTTAAAATAGGTAGGCGTTTTACATGACAAACTCAAGCTGCCTCTAATCCGTTATCAGAAGCCGTTATTACGTACGCATGCACGCCACGCACCGTGCATCGCGTATCGGTGAAATGGCGTTTTCTACGTCGTTCTGAAACGCTATTGTGTCGCATTAGGAATCGACAGAGGGAGAAATAGAGAGAAAGAAATATAAAAAAGTGAAAGAAAGCGAGAAGAAAGAAATAGACTCACCATTGGCCAGCACCAGCGTGTTGACTGTTACGCACAGCAACGCGCACACTACATAAATAGCTTTCATCGTCACTGATTCGAGTACCGTCGAAAATAATCACGGAAATCGATTGGCGAATCGGAATTCTGTTGCAAGGCGCAGAGAACGGCTGGACTATGACGCGCAACGAAGCACACGGGACACACACCACCACTAGACTGAGCTCGCATGAACTCGCAGCGACTGCTTCGCAGCAACGCGAAGGGAGGTGGCGGTGACGGTAGCGGCGACAGTGGCGGCGATAGTGGCGGCGCCGTTGCGCCGAAAGAGTGCGGAACGATAATCCCTAGAGTAGAGGGATTAGTTTCGCTTCCAAATATCGAGATTTGAAAAAAATGAGCAGACAAGAGCGATCCCGTATATACAGGAGACCGGAATAGACGCGACAATGCCAATGAAAAGGGATTGTCAGCGCGTTCGCACGAGCATGGAACGATCGCTGCAGACACGAAGGTAGCAATAGCGCGACAATAACTGTGCATAAACGTGGGTTGGTAGTTCCTCAATGGAGGATTTTCAACGAATATTACAGGCCTGTTCTTTGTAGCTGCACTACTGAACTAGTGCAATAAGTTAGAGTGAGAAAACGTATATTTGTTTCACTTCAATATATTGCACCAGTTCAGCAGTGCAACTACAAAGAACAGGCCTTACATATGATATTTATAGAGAATTCAGTAGCTTGCACTAGTGCGCAGTGAGTGCGCGTTCAGGCTTGTTTACAATACATTTTTATATTTAAGATCAATTTTACCTAAATACATATTTAAAAACATTTTAGCTAATAAAATGATTCGTACATATCATATTACTGCTTAAAAATATTTGAAAATTTATTTAAGACAATCTTTAATTATAATAACATACTATAAATAAGCTTAGTGCGCACTCAGTGCAAGCAACCGAATTCGCTATTAGTGAAAAGCATGAAGTAAGAGATAAGGAGAACTTGATAGGGCGCAAGTAGAGAAAGTGGTCCTAATTCGTGTCCCCCAATTGAAAGGAAATCCGCTGAAAAGAATAATGGCTCCTGCACACAGGACGCGGTAATGCTTGCCGCGCGGCGGAAGTCCGCGCTACAGCCAATCAATATGTTGTTTTTCCGTAAGAGCTAGAAGATTATTACGGAAAGCAGCATATTGATTGGCTGTCGCGCGGACTTCCGCCGCACGGCAAGCATTACCGCGTACTGTGTGCAGGAGCCATAACTTCTTATGGTTGGGCGCCATTTGTAAAGCAATAAATTAGAGCGAGATAAGATATACTTGTCTCACTCTTACTGCACCAGTTCAGTGGTGCAGTTAAAGAGCTGCACCACTGAACTGGTGCAGTAAGAGTGAGACAAGTATATCTTATCTCGCTCTAATTTATTGCTTTACAAATGGCGCCCAACCATAAGAAGTTATGGCTCCTGCACACAGTACGCGGTAATGCTTGCCGTGCGGCGGAAGTCCGCGCGACAGCCAATCAATATGCTGCTTTCCGTAATAATCTTCTAGCTCTTACGGAAAAACAACATATTGATTG